AGTCAACCATTAATATCTCATTTCATCATTTTCTTTGACGAGTGTTATATCTCTTGTTAATTGGATTTAAAAACTTAGCTAGGAAAACTCGAACAAATAGATCACCAAAACATAAGTAATCACACTTTAATTTAATTATATTGACAAGGAACAAAAATAGTGAGTATAGTTAAATTTTTAGATTTTGTGTTGTTGGAATACATGTGACATTAGTCTTTTATTTCAACCTTCTCGCTTATACTCATGCCACATGTATTATACTAACACGAAAAGTTAAAATTTCACTATTTTTATTCCTTGTTAATATAATTAAAAGTTGTAATTATACTTTGATTAATTAAAAATTGTGGAACCTAGACGGGTCTTGCAGTGTGGTACAAAATAACATGATTTAAATGAAAGTGGTGGGTTTGCCAAACGAAATGAACGGTCAAGATAAAGAAAATGAAACACTAACCATTTAAGTTTTAACATAATTGGGGTGGGGGACAAGTGTGGTCTCCTGCTGTTTTGTTTTTTTTTTTTTTTTTTTTTTTTTTTTTTTTTTTTTTTTGTCATTAGTTAAATTTGGGGGTGGGGGGATTCGAACCTTGGATGGGTGGGAGTTTTCTTGGCCCTAGTGCCACTGCACTAGGCCCCCATCCTCGAAAACGATCCCTTTTACTTTGGCTGTCTACGCACTGTTTCACTTAATTCTACCTTTCCACAACTACGCCATTTGCCTAGGATTTAAACAAAAAAACCAGAAACGTAGCGGCGCCGCGCAAAGTACCAAAACTAGCACCGGCAAAGCAGAGCGGCAGCTGCTAGCAGAGGGGCGGAAATCTGGATCTTAGGCATGAATTCCGGCGACCGGAGGGGTAGCCGCACCTCCTCGCGCCTCTGTGGCTTCGCCACTGGTTGCAAGTAGGGGGTTGGGGGAAGAAGATGAAGATGGGGGAGAAGAGTCGAATAGAGGCGAAGATGGGGGATATGGGTTTGGGGGTTGCGGGGAGAAGAGAGGAGGATGAGGGAAGGTTTCAGTTTTTTTTATTTTAATATTTAGAAGATTTAGGTTTAAATTTTTTTTTTGCCACGTGGCAGCCACATCAGTACATATGTGGCAGCCACGTTAGCATTTAACAGACTAATGGATAAAAAAATCTAATGGAGGTGTTATTTTGAAATAAAATGGTACTGGATGTATGAAAGTGAAATGTTTTAAAGTTGTTGTATGGGGTTGTAATAGATCTCAAACTTAAGGGGCTACTATGTAATTTACCTGTGAATTTTAGGGGAAATTAAGGAGAGAAATTGGGGAAGGAAAGGGGAGAGTACGAGTCTATGTGTCGTGTTTTCTGTAGAAGCCACAAACAACGTAGGTCGACACTCGACTCAAGTGAGCTAACTGTCGCCATATGCTTGTTTACTATTTCATATTTGACGAGAATCGTATTTAACATTTTTAATTTACAAATAAAGAAAAATACCACTGTATAGTAGTAGTAAGTCACATTTTGTTTTCAAATTAATGTTATTAATTCATTCAAATCATATCCAATACCAAAACTCATCCAACACTTTATAAATACTCATTCATTTGTCCACTAACACATAAAAAATTCAATTTCTCATATTTCACTACCAATTTTTTTTTACATCAAAATGTTTGTAAAAATAAAACAAGATAAATTATACAAAGACTAAATCCAAAATTGTTAGCTAATTTTATTTAAGAAATACAAAAGTTTGAAAAATTATAAAGTTGGGGTGGGATTTATACGTCTCTAACTGTTGGAGGAAAAATTTGACTAACCTCGTAGGTATGGATGTTTTTTTACAAAAGAAATACATATGTTTTTTTTTTTAACTTTTTAGTTAAAAAAGACTTGAAAGTTACTTTAAGAGTCTTAAAAAAATTTCTACTCCAATCATACTCTCTAGTTCAAAGAGTCATAATGATTCAGGACAAAATAAAAATAAATTTTTTATTTGAAATATTATTAAAATAGTAGTAATTAATGCTATGAGCTCCTTTCATACTAGTGTATTCAATTGAGAATTTGAGAGATTTTAATGGATTTTTATGGAGTTTAATTGATATAAAATTTTGATTCAACTCCCTCAAAATCTCATGGAGAGAGGTGAGATTTGTGGATGCTTAAAATACACTACGAAATCTCTCAAATTCCCTCAAATTCCTCAACTTTCTCAAATTCTTTAAAATCAAATTTTAATTGAATACACCTGGAATGTTGTAAACTTTTTTAAAATCCTATTTGAATACACCCAAATTTCTAAGGATTTTAATAAACTATCTTAAAATTATAATTGGATACACCTTGAATTTCAGATAATCACCTAAAATCCTAATTGAATATTCCTATATTCATTAAAAGAATTAAAATCCTTCAAAATCCCAATTAAATACATCCCCTTTGGTTCTTAAATTTAAGAGCTCCTAGTAGAATATGTTGAAATAAATCCCACATCGGAGAATTAAGAAAATAAAATACATTTCATAAGTGTATGGTTCCACCTTAATGACACCGGGACTTTTTTGTGATAAAACTATAACACCTAATAATAGGTGGTTAAGTTGGGACAATATCATTGTGATTAGGAGTGGGTTAGTGTCCAGTCTCTCTGAATATCTGACAGAATTCCTATCTTAGAAGGTGGATAGGGAGTTTGATTGGAGATGGATATGTTCAAATCTCTCTAAATTTTAGCTAGGAGCTCATTAGGGAGGTCATGGCCACTTCCTAATCAATCCATTAATCGTCTAAAAATTGAATAGTTTATAAGTAGATGCTTGAGCGGGCACCTGTGCGAGCTAAGTGGGCGAGGCGGCCTAGGCAAGAGCCTAGCGAGATGGAAGAGCATGTTAGAAAGTTACTTAAAAATTTAGGCTTGTTTGGTACTCTACTTGAATCCAACTTTTTAAACTCAAAAATAATTTTCAAGTTTTAGGCCTTAAAAACTTGTTTAGTATGACTATTTTCAAAAACTGAACTCAAGACTAACTAAAAAATATAGTTCATTCTCTAAAAACATAAAAAGTGAGTTTTTAGAGTTTTTAAACTTAACTCACTCATTTCTTTCCTCTCCCTTCTCCCCTCTCATTCCAATTCTATCTCTCTTTTCTTCTTTCTCTCCTCTTTTTTTTACCTTTTTCGTCTCTCCTTCAATTCGCTCTCTTCATTATCTCGGTTCTTTCTCTCACTCTTTCCTCTCTATCTCGTTCGATCTCCTCTCTTCTTTCTCTTTCCTTCAATCATCTCTTACTTTCTTTCCTCCTCTCTCCTGCGACCCCCTCTTTTTAGATCTCTTTATTTAGTTTAAGTCGTAAGATTTAAAAATTTTAAATTGCAAACCAATCAAGTTTTTGAGTCTTAAAGAAAATTATTTTCAAGAAATGTTCTTAAGAAATGTTTTGAGAAATAATAAAAAATTTCAAATAGGATACCAAACAAGCTCTTAGTTTTTCTTAGGCTTTCTTTCTCTTTCTTGACATATTTTTCTCAATTTTCTTAATTAATACTCTTTTTATTATTATTATTATTATTATTATTATTATTATTATTATTATTATTATTATTATTATTATTATTATTATTATTATTATTATTATTATTTTATATATAGCAAAAGAAAAATTACCATGAAAACCCCTAGGACATTCAACTAGGCCTGGCAAACGAGTCATGTTTGCCGTGTTCGTGTCGTTTTTGTGTAACATTTGTTATCTTAACGGGTCGTATCATGTCACACCCATTATCTAAACTGATTTTTAACAGGTTGGGTCAATTTACCCAATAGGTAAAATGACCCAACCCGTCGTGACCCGTTAAGAAAAATATATCTTTTTTTTTTCTTTCTAAATTTGCACATACTGCATTGCCACATAAATATTACTTCAAAACATAAAAACACATTTGTCATTAAGTACTACATACTCCAAAATAAGAGCCTAATAGAAAAGCATCAATACACTACTACAAAACATCAAATGTGTAAGGATATGCAAAATGAAGGAGTTTTTCTTTTTTAAGATTGGGAAGTCTTTCTCAAAAGTTAAAACCTTGTCAATGAAACTCAAAGCTTGCATCTTGTTCTTTTTATAAAATCTTTCAATTTTCATCGATCATCATGGAGAAATGGTATTGGAACTTTGGCCTGATCTATTGTCTTCAACATATCATGGGAAAAACTAATTCGAAGCAAAACCCTATAGTTTGAAAGTAATTCGAAAGAATCAACAATTATCTTGATTAGGGCTCAAGATTCGCTCGATCCAAAGAGAGAGAATCAGAGACAAAAGTAGTAGACCGATTGGTGGTGATTTACTAGATCGTATGTGGTAACAGTGGTGTGGTGGAGGGAGACTGGAGAGGGTGATCGTGGACTCGTGGCTGACAAAAGTTGAGGTTCGAGACTGAGAATCGAGAGTTCAACTCGAGAGAGAGTGGCTGTTTCGATTCGAGCATTCGAGATCGACAGAGAGTCTGATTTAAGGCTGGGAAAAACATTAGACGGCTGAGATGAAATCTTAGCCGATCTAACAGCCACCAATTTTCTAAATTTAATATATATATATATATATATATATTTATATTTTAACTTTTAGTTTGGCTCAAGATTAAATCCTACTATTGTTAATTTCAGTATTTTTTAATGGTATAAAATTATCAAATTAATATTTTTCTTAAATTGTAACGAATTACCCACTTGTATATCTAGACCAACCCGTTATCTTAACAGGTGCTTATTGGGTTACCCGATAACGACCCGATTCGTTATTGTGTTGACCTGAAAACTTGTTAATTTCATGTCGTTTTGTTACTAGTTAACAGGTCGTGTCAGAAATTGCCAAACCTATATTCAACAAGAAGATAGTCACAAGAGTATACCCAGGCTGCATCAGGAGGGAGGGTGTTAAACCAAACTTGGACTCCATCCAAATTATGACCCAATAAACCAAGAGCATCCATCACAAAGTTATCTTCACGAAGAACATGTTGGAAAGAAATATGATCAAAATAACAAGCCGCACGCTGAATTTCCATGATTAAAGTGTTGATTAGCCAAGGTGCTGCAGACCTAAGATTGATAGCGTCAACGAGAATCTTAGAATCCCCTTCAATTTCAAGTCTCCGAATGTGTCTAGTAGCAGCAAACTTGAAAACATCAAGGAGAGCTTGCCCTTCAGCCACTAGAACATTAATATAACCTGTATCTCTGGCTCCCCCATAAACTGGATCTCCACAATCCTTTCAAATAATAAAGCCCAAGGCTGCTTCGTTGATCTCTCCAAACAAGCGCATGTGTACCTACAAATATCTCTTCTATTACAAAGACCACCGACCCGCGAAGCTTATCCGGGAGATGATTTTATTCAAAGAATATCCTATAGAAAATACAATGTTGGTCTTGGTATCGTACACCTACCAATATTTCAAATTAGGTACATAATTCACCCTTTTTTTATTTTCCGGGGTAAATTTCTTCCCACATTTGCATTCATAAGTTGAAAAAACTAGCAAACCAACCTAGAAAATTCTCAGCTGTGGAGACAGGACGGAGGAAGACGACAATGACTGTGATGTTGTCTTTGCTCCCACGTTCAGCGGCTTCAGTCGCCAATCTCTTGGAGCACATTCCAGGCTCTTTCACCGTGTCCCTGATTATGCTTACAACCTCCGCATTGCTCACAACATCCCACAGTCCATCACTTGCCATTACCTGACAAAAATTAGGTTTTTTTTTCAAAAGAAAAGTAACAATGATTGAGATTAAACAGTTTAAGCACATATTGTTTGCTTCTAGATAGAGCAAACTCGGTATGTAGGTTCCGTTGCCTATCAAACAGTATCATCTCCATATTGAAAGTTGATATATATCCTTCAGCAAACAAAACAAATAAAATCTTATGAAAAAAGACACCCCTGAATCCATGAGAAAGGGAGAAGACAATAATATACAAGTCTGACGCGTGAAACATGCGAAGTCTCAGAGAGTGGCAGAGGCAACTTACTGAGTTATTTTGTTATGAATTTTGACGGAAAGAATTATTTTTGTTAAGAACTTGACGGAAATTATTGATAAGTTCTAATCAACTGATTCTTCTTAAGAGGTATTCTATTTGGTAAGTGGCCAACAGGTAATAGAAAAAGTAACTTGTCATAATCGGTTCAAAGTTGAGTAAGGCCCCATCTGGGAGTTTTATGGGAAAGCAAAAATGTTTAAACATGCTTTAAATAAGAATAGGGTTTATGGAGAAGCATCTCTAGAAATGATTTTTGAAAAACACCGAAATCACTCAGGGTTTCAAAGAAAATTAAGTACCAAAATCACTACTGAGTAAAACCACTTCTATAGAAGCACTCCCAAACAAGCCCTAAGTAGGATAAATTGCACCTTTTTATGTATGCATAAGGTGTGACAAGTCCTTACCAAATACTCATCCTCTGGGGAGAGAATAGTTTCAGTTATCTCAGGTTCCGCAGTTACAGCAGGCTTTAGATCATCATCACCTATGGAACGAGTAACCTATTGGAAGAAAAATGTCAAAGATACACATTCAACCGGAAAAGATGAACATGTTTGAAATGTTAATTACGTGCCAGTCACTGACATCTGCAGGTACCATCCGGAACCATTATTCATTTTCTTATACTAGTCACTATCTTATGATAAAGCAGATAAAATGCATATATGTTTAATTACCCTGGTTAAAGATAACTTCGATGAGACCAAGATGGATTCCTTTGTTAAACAAGATAAACCAAAATATTTGGTTTTCAATACAATGGTAATGGTTTTGATATATAAAAATTTATTTCTTGTTTCCAGAATAGTTACTTTGAGAAAGAACCAACATGATAAAACGTTGCATAGCACAACTGTATAAAGCTCAACAAAGTTGTACTTGTTTCCAAAGCAATATTATACAAAAGTATGTAATGTAAGTTCCCTATGGAAACTTTTGGGTGCAAAATAACATGTAGTTGAACATAAAGAAGATAAAACACATCGCTCTTTATCTTAAAGAAAATCTTATGTTGCATCACAATGGAACCTGATTATTTTTGCTTTTCCTCTCGGGCAAAGTTTATGAGTTGTCAAATTTATTTATTATGAATTATTTTTATTTTTTTTCCAAACTAACTCAAACAAGGGTTTAGCCTTTCTGTTGGAGAGAATAACCTACCCACATAAGTAGCAGAAAACAAACAAACGTAAAATATCAGACTTTTGGAAGAAAATATTGCAAGAGTATCATGATATCTGAAGGCACAAACCTGAAGAGCAGCACGACCCACCCTCCAATTATCAACTTGCCATCTTACGTCTCCTCCTGCACTAATAACCCGATCCCTTTCTTCGAGACAGCTTGCAACGTGATCCTAATATTTCATTCATTATTCTGAGGAATAAAACCTTGTACTAAACCAGAATGACCAAACAGGAATGTATGAAGTCTAAGTCACCTTGCTTAGAACAAAGGGGTGGCCAGAACGACACAGTATTGTCCTGCAATCTCCTGCATTAGCTACAAAAAGTTTGTCTCTAACAATAAGAGCTGCAGCTGCAGTGCAACCAGGATGCCAGTCCTTCTGGATAACTCTCTTGGATTTACGAGAAATATCCAGCTCAGCTCTAAATGCTATATCAGTCTTAATGAATGCCTCGAACAATGCACTGCTTGGACTGCATTTCGAGATAAAGTCAACTAGTCAAATAAAATATACAATGTTAAAAAGAGAGAAGAATGGAAGGAACAAACCTGCTAATCGAACTTATAGCTTGCAGGAATCCTGGAAAAGCTCGAGCTGAAAATTCGGCAGCTGCTGCACCTGCACTTTGTTACAGTTATATCCTTGTAGCACAGCATTGGAATCAGGTTGCTAATAGAAATACCAAATACACAATTAGAAAGATAAATTGCCAAACCTCACCTCTATGACCATCAAAAATACCAAAAACATGGATATCTCTTTCATTACACACATGTGGCAAAAGGAAATGTGTATCCTCCATCGTCTCTCTTCTGCCACAGGTAGCAAAGGATCCCCAAGAAAGTACTGGATGATATGCCAAAGTATCATTTGAAGCCTGAAGCCACTTTTCCAACCCATGCTTAGGTTCACAAGCTCTATTGATGGAATTTTCTCCCTGAGTAAACCAGTTAATACCCTCTTGATAAGCTTGAAGATTGTTGCCAACATCTATAGGCTGATTACCAAGAGAATTAAGAGAATCGTGAAAGGAACTATCTGGCTCCTTTATTTTCTCTCTCTGTTTCAAAATTATAACAAGTTCAGCAACTATGTCATCGAAGGAAGGCCTGTTTTGAGAATTTGCATCCCAACATCTCTGTATCACTGATAATAAAGCTGATGGCACACCAGACTCAGGATCAGCAAGAACCGGTCGCAATCCATCTGACACCACTGCTGCTGTAAGTTGCTGCTCTGTGTAGTTCATCTCCAGTACAGTGTGCGCCTGCTAGCATTATGCACCAATCAGCTACTAGCTACCATGAGCTATTCAGTGACAAATTTGAGGAGTCATATCCATAATAAACATGATAATTTATTTTTGTTGAATAACAAACATAATTGCATCAGAGATGCTGCTTGAAACTCAAGATCATAGTACTGATTGTTAGAACACTAAACATTTACATGAACCCATCTATAGATGGAAGTAATTCTTACTAAAAGTCTAAAAACTAAAGGCAGGTAGTCAGACAGAAAATATGTTACAGGATATAAGCAAAGGCTTAGGTGATGAAGCAGCATCAACGTTGGAGCATTTGCAGCGGAATGGAGGAGGGGCATTTTATCTTATTTTCTAGTTCCTCTTCCTTTAGACTTCTTCCCTAATTTGCTACAATTCCATATCAGCCTCCATGCCGTTTAATTATTATAAAATCTCCACATCGCTTTGGTTTAAGACCCTTGGATTTGATACCCCAAAGGCTAAAAAGTTGTAAATATATTTATGAACTTGTTTGCCTCCAGATCCTGACCCTAGAATAAAAACCACAAACTAAACACTGAGAGTCTAAGACAAAGAAAAGGGAATGTTTCATTGAAATTAGCAGTAAACTCATGTGATGAAACTGTGATGCTTTGCCTAAATTTATTGGAGGATGGGATGCTTTCAGGTCTTCTTTCTTAGCATAGGCTATGAACTATATCATGTGCCTTGCAACGCCTCATCAACAAGGCCACTCAACCTTTTTTCACTATGTTTGACCGCTATTTCCAACTGATATTTGGTTTCGACTATATCGGACCCATACTTGAATTTCCACATCACTACCTCCCAAACTTCTGATATATCTGCAGAAGTGAGAAGATATTTTTCGTACTTGGATGCTTTATTCAAAGTTAGCAGTTTTGAAATTCTAAACCCTCTTTCATCTATTAAACATTTATTTCCTAGTAACAAATCAATGCTAAACAATACGATGCCATAAAATCAAGAAAACGAATGCTACCATAGATGGATTAAATATAAAAATACATCTGAATATGGTGGAAAATTACTTGTGCAGTAAACCATAATGCAAACCAAAAATAAGCTGGAATTTTTAAAAACTAATCCCTCGGGATATATATACTATTCACAAAAATGGGCATGTGAATCCAAACATCAATGCAGTCCAAAGATCCGAACAGTTGGACCTCATTCAAGGTCAAGAATCATCCTTACGAAAAATCTCCAAAACCCAAACATGTATTAGCAACAAGAATCATATGCCACATCAATCCAACTGTAAATCAACATCTCTTAATATATTGTAAGTTAAGCAGCACAACACAAATGAGAAAGGCTACCTGGGCTTCCGCACGAAGATCAGTATATGGAACAACACCAGTAAGAAGCTCACTGCAAGAGGATCATACTGAAATTTCATATTCATGGGAAAAAGAGATGAAAATTTAAACTGCATACTTGTCTATAAAATAATAACATAATAATGAAATTACTACTATAAAATGTAATTGATGCAGAACAATATCTTAGGGATATTTTAATACAGTTTATTTGTATTCTCCTGTTTCTAGTATGAGTAAGATTACTTTCCTTCATAGCCAGATTTGATTAATTATAAATATGTGCTTTGTAATTCAAATATAAGCATACTTGATTGATGAATGAAATTTCCAAACCTTGAATTATCTCTCGCCTTTCTGTCCTCTTAAACCCTGATCTCCCCTTCTGTTCTAGATTTCTCTTCGGTTTATCTATTTCTTCTGTCTTCCTATTCTGAATCCTCTGTTTCTCTTATATTCAGACTTAGTTCCTCTTGCCTTCTAAAATCTCTTTCTGATTTCTAAACTTTGGTTACTTGTTCTACATCAGCAATTTTGGTTACACAACTATTCATTGTGATATGGTATATTTATAAATTGAAGGTTTATTTTACAAGAAAAATCTTTGTAGACAGTTTGGATCATCACACAACAATAAAATGTGGATCCTCCACGGTGTCCCATAGTGTTATTTGGGGGACCAATCAACTAAAACTAGCTACTGTTCTGATTCCAAATTGTGAAGTAATGTGTATACTATCCCCCCCTGTTCCCGTCATGGAATAGATGAAATAAATAAAAAAATGGACATTTGTTCAGGAATGAAATCTTATTGGATTTGTACATATCCAATTCATCCTTCGGAACCATATCACATCCCGGATATGATGAAATATGATGAATTGGGACGGTATTTTGTAAATACATAATTTATCCTGAACATATTACCTATTCTTTATTTTCCGATTTTTGGTGTATGTATTAATTCAAATAAAGTTGCTCTACTTGTTGAGAAGCTGATTACTGGTATCAGAAACATCCAGACATAGATTATGTTTTGATTCAGCTGACTCAATTAATGTACTAGTGAGACTCATATAGGAGCAGTGTAAATGATCCTAAGGTATTTGAAGTCTACTCCCATTATTATTTTCTAACTATTAAGTTTATCTTACATTGCCGGTCCCAAGCCCGGATAAAGGAGGAGGGGGAGGGCGTCAGGTAGTCGACAGCCGGCACTCCATGATCACGTCGAATCCTTATGAAAATGAATCCAGAACGAAATCGCGCTAAAGCTAGGGCGTCACCCGTAAGTGGCGCGCTGTGTGGCCTGAGCACAGTGATAAGTGAGCAAGGGTCGCTGTATCTCCATCGGCACCCGGATACAGTGTTAAATGAGCAAGGGGGCTATAGAAACTTCTTTTCGAACGACTCCACTCAAAGTTGTTTGGGAGCATATGCTCCTATCAACTTTACACGGGACACACAAAAGAAGTACTTTGATCCTATTAGACGGGGAAGGGTGAAGAAGCTAGGACAGAAGGGTAGAGTTCAAGAGAGCAAAATGCGTTTAGGAACGTGGAATATAGGAACCTTGACGGGAAAATCTATGGAAGTAGTAGGAAGTTATGGTGAGGAGAAGGATAAATATTATGTGCCTACAAGAAACTAAGTGGGTTGGTCGTAAGGCAAAGGATCTAGAAAACTCAGGGTTTAAACTATTGGTATTCGGGCACAAATAGAACGAGAAACGGTGTTGGCATCATCGTGGACAAGACCTTGACACAAGATGTTGTAGATGTCAAGAGGGTAGGAGATAGAATCATGGCAATCAAGATTGTAATAGGACAAGAACTTATCAATGTGATTAGTGCGTACGCACCTCAAGTAGGGTTGGATACGAGTTCGAAGGAGAAATTTTGGGAAGACCTTGGAGACTTGGTGCAAGGAATTGCTCAGACGGAGAAGTTATTTATAGGAGGAGATTTAAATGGACACGTGGGCAGGGAGACAGGCAACTATGGAGGTTTTCATGGTGGCCATGGTTTTGGGGAGAGAAACGAGGATGGGGAAGCTATCTTGGATTTTGCAATGGCATATGATCTCTTCTTAGCCAACACCTTCTTTAAGAAGAGAGAAGAACATGTGATCACCTACAAGAGTGGGTCGTCAAAAAAACACAAATAGATTTTCTTCTAATGAGGAAAGGGGATCGTATAACTTGTAAGGATTGCAAAGTTATACCAGGAGAGAGAGCGTGGCTAATCAACATCGCTTGTTGGTGATGGATGTACATATCAAAAGAGTGAGAAAAAAGAACAAGACTTGGAAGTGCCCAAGGACTAGATGGTGGAATCTAAAAGAAGAAAAACAAGCCATTTTCAAAGAGAAAGTAATCACCCAGTGTGTGTGGGATAGAGAGGGGGAAGCTAGCCAAATGTGGGATTCCATGGCTAGTTGTATCCGAAAAGTAGCAAAAGAGGTATTAGGAGAGTCCAAGGGCTTTGCCCCACACCAAAAGGAATCTTGGTGGTGGAATGAGGAGGTACAAACAAAGGTGAAGGCTAAGAAGGAATGTTGTAAAGCCTTATACAAGGATAGGACCGATGAAAATGGTGAAAGGTATAGAAAAAAGCGAAGCAAGAGGCGAAGAAAGCTGTGAGAGAAGCTAAGTTAGCGGCTTATGACGATATGTATAAGCGACTAGATACCAAAGAAGGAGAGTTGGATATCTATAAACTAGCTAGAGCAAGGGAAAAGAAGACAAGGGACCTAAACCAAGTGAGGTGCATCAAGGATGAGGATGGAAAGGTTCTTGCTACAGAGAACGCGGTTAAAGACAGATGGAGAGGTTATTTTCATAATCTTTTCAATGAAGGACATGAAAGGAGTGCTTCTTTAGGGGAGTTGAGTAACTCAGAAGAGTGTAGAAACTACTCTTTTTATCGTCGAATCCGGAAGGAAGAAGTGGTTGTAGCTTTGAAGAAGATGAAGCATAGAAAAGCAGTAGGCCCAGACGATATACCAATCGAAGTGTGGAAAGTTTTGGGAGAGACAGGTATAACATGGCTCACTGACCTTTTCAATAGGATTTTGAAAACGAAGAAGATGCCAAATGAGTGGCGAACGAGCACTTTGGTGCCTATCTACAAGAATAAGGGCGACGTACAAAATTGCATGAACTATAGGGGTATTAAGCTAATGAGTCATACAATGAAGCTCTGGGAGAGAGTCATTGAGCATAGATTGAGGCAAGAGACACGGGTTTCGGACAACCAATTCGGGTTCATGCCAGGGCGCTCAACCATGGAGGCAATCTATCTCTTACGAAGATTGATGGAAAGATATAGAGAGATGGGAAAAAGGATTTACACATGGTCTTTATAGATTTGGAAAAAGCGTATGATAGGGTCCCAAGAGACATTCTTTGGAGGATTTTAGAGAAGAAAGGAGTACGAGTAGCATATATCCAAGCTATAAAGGATATGTATGAAGGAGCAAAGACTGCCGTAAGAACTCATGAAGGACAAACCGAAAGCTTTCCCATAACTGTAGGATTACATCAAGGCTCATCCTTAAGTCCTTACCTTTTTGCGTTGGTAATGGATGAGTTAACAGGACATATTCAAGATGATATTCCTTGGTGTATGCTTTTCGCAGACGATATAGTGTTGATAGATGAAACTCAGGAAGGGGTAAATGCAAAGCTTAACCTTTGGAGAGAAGTGTTGGAATCTAAAGGTCTTCGCCTAAGCCGATCAAAGACAGAATATATGGAGTGCAAGTTCAGTGCAAATGGAGGCCAAAACGAGTTAGGGGTGAGGATCGGAGATCAAGAAATACCAAAGAGCGACCGTTTTCGTTACCTAGGATCTATCTTGCAAAAGAACGGAGAATTAGATGGAGATCTCAACCATAGAATACAAGCTGGATGGATGAAGTGGAAGAGTGCATCCGGCGTGTTGTGTGACCGCCGTATGCCACTGAAGCTCAAGGGAAAATTTTATAGGACGGCAATAAGGCCGGCGATGCTGTATGGCACAGAATGTTGGGCGGTGAAGCATCAACACGTACACAAAATGGGTGTAGCGGAGATGAGGATGCTTCGTTGGATGTGTGGGCACACGAGAAAGGATAAGATTAGGAATGAGGATATCCGGGGTAAAGTAGGAGTAGCCGAAATTGAAGGAAAGATGAGAGAAAATCGGTTACGGTGGTTTGGACATGTGCAAAGAAGGCCTACTGACGCTCCGATTAGAAGATGCGACTATGGGACAGAGGTTCAGGGCCGAAGGGGTAGAGGAAGACCTAGGAAAACTTTGGAAGAGACTCTAAGAAAAGACTTAGAGTACTTGGATCTAACGGAAGGACATGACACAGGACAGAGCACAATGGCGTTCTAAGATTCATATAGCCGATCCCACTCAGTGACTTGGATTTTCCAAGTCTCCAACCGAGAAGTTTTCCTCACTCGGGAAATTAAGGGAACACTACCTCAACCTACATGCTCCACTCACAAAAGCTTCAACATACAAGCTTCAACAAAAGAAAATTCAAAGAACTTAGCGAAGAAGGCTTTGGTGTATTTAACACAATACGTTGAAATGAAGGAAAGCTTATTTATTGATATCCCCGATAAGCTACAAATATGTACATATACATGAGTCAAAATAAACAAACAAGAGGGAGCCTTCACAAAGGTTGCTTAGGAGAAGTCTCAGCAGTCGGTAGAGCCCCAGAAAGAGAAGGCACCGGAGGGGGATCATTCGGAGCCTCAGTACTGGACAGAACCCTAGAAGGAGGAGGCATCAGAGGTTGATCATTTGGAGCTTCATTACGCGGTACAGCCCCAGAAGACGAAGGCAATAAATGCCTTTGGAACAAACCCACAAATCTCTGATGATCAAGTAAAACCTGACCATCAGATTCCTTCATCTGGTCAAGCTTCCTCTTCATGTTTGTAGCATAGTCATGTGCGAGCCGGTGCAACTGTTTATTCTCATGCTTGAGCCCTCTAATCTCCTGTTTGAGACTCATCACTTCAGCCGCCAATGATTCAACTTGGCGGGTTCGAGCAAATAGGCGTTGGGCCATATTAGACACAGAACCTGCACACTGAACACTGAGAGCCAGAGAATCCTTAACAGCTAACTCATCAGACCGTTTGGAAAGTAGTCTGTTATCTTTGGGAGTGAGAAGGTTCCTGGCCACCACCGCAGCGGTCATATCATTCTTCATCACGGAATCCCCAACGGTAAGAGGACCAGTAGGGGAGACGAAGGATGGGCGCCATATGTTGTCTGGAGAAGGCGGGGGCTGCCTCTTCAACAAGGTTCAAGTCAAAACGACGGTCGGAGGGGCCAGACATTTTCAAAGGTGTTGAAGAGAGAAGAGGTCGGACAAATCAAGATCTTAGAAGTGCAAGAATGGAGCTTCTACTGGTGGAGATTCAAGTGTGCTTTGGAACTTAATGCCAGCCCCTATAAAAATCTGCACTCGACGGAAGCTTCAGAAATCGAAGAGGCGCCTGCTCAGAAATCGAAGAGGCGTTTGCTTTCTCAAAAGCTGGGGCTGCTCAGAGATTTCTCAAAAGCTGGGCTGCTCAAAGACCACGAAGGCCGATCTCAGAAATCGAAGAGGCTTTGCTTTCTCAAAAGCTGGGCTGCTCAGAGACCACGAGGGCCGATCTCAGAAATCGAAGAGGCACCTACTTTTCCAGCCTTGTCAGCACCTGTCACACGCACACTCAGCTTTGCGGAAATTATGGGCATTCTGTCGAAGATTTTCTGGTGAAGTAGAAAGCACATGAATCTTACTGTTCAATCACCCACTTCCCACACGCAACAGTAGCTCATGGGTACCACAGATAACTTTGCCAAAGTTCTCTGCCAAAGTTGAGACACGTGAAGCTTGCAGCTCCCACTACATCGCTCTGACCAAGAAGGGTAAAAGAATAGCAAAGAAACAGCACTAACAAAGTTTAGACACATAAATTTTGAAGGTCTAGCTACCATATTATTACCCACAAGGGTAAAGGAACAGTACCACTGCTGGATAATTGGAAAGTCCCTGTGTGTCAACCTCTGTGCTTCGTGGCAAGGTAGACTAGCAAACATGCCCAACCTTTACTCACATTCGAGAAAACACTCCCAACAAGATTGCTTGCTCCAAAATCGAAGAGGCACCGTCCTCCGAATCTCGAGAGCCAGACTCCCAACATGACTACTTTCTCAAAAATCGAAGAGAGGGTAAAGGAACAGTACCATTGCTGGATAATTGGAAAGTCCCTGTGTGTCAACCTCTGTGCTTCGTGGCAAGGTAGACTAGCAAACATGCCCAACCTTTACTCACATTCGAGAAAACACTCCCAACAAGATTGCTTGCTCCAAAATCGAAGAGGCACCGCCCTCCGAATCTCGAGAGCCAGACTCCCAACATGATTACTTTCTCAAAAATCGAAGAGACACCGCTCTCCGAATCTCGAGAGCCAGACCCCCAGCATGATTGCTTTCTCAAAAATCGAAGAGGCATCGTTTTCCGAATCTCGAGAGCCAGATCCCCCGACAAGGTCTGTAATCTTTCACACGCAACATCAGCTTTCCAGATACCACAAACCACTTTTTCAAAGTGCTCTGACAGAGTTAAAACATGTGAAGCTGGCAGCTCCCACTACCGTGCTATGACCAAGCAGGGTAAAGGAATAGCATTACTACTTGATTGTTAGGGAGACTCCTATATATGTCGACCTCCATCCCCAACGGACAGGCAGACCTGCAAAAATGCTCAACCCTTTCCTCATATCTGAGAGGGCACTCCCAACGAAGCCTTTCGAAATATTCAGCTTTCTTTCCCCCCGATAATACCTCTGCAAACAAGCTATACTAGAGCAAGAATATCTCATATCATCAGGGTTAAAAGCAAGAGTATCCCATATCATGCTTTTTCCCTGTCTTTTCCTTTGGCCTTGTTCTTACCTGCAAGACAAGGAGAAAGAGAGCAATCAGTCAGCACTTGGAATCAAGCTTCCAGCCAGGAACTGACTGCCTGGAACCCCTTACCTGATTACTTACCTGGCATTGCTCTCGAGTACTCATCTTCAACATCTTATGCTTCCAGGGAAGATACCGCATCTGCCTGAGGAACAGATAGGGCAAGTGAGAAGGATACAAGGAAGCATGTGGAGACAAGCGTAACAGCACACGTGCCGATACATCCACTTACTCTGTCAAAAGCAAAAGTATCCCATATCAGCAGGGTCGAACGTACTCTAGATTTGATGGACTTGTTTTGACCCTCAAATTCTTCAGTCGGCCTTATACTCTGGAGGAAACCAGAAAACCCTCCAGCCCAGTTCAAGAATAAGCCTGTGGAAAGTTACTTCTTCAAAAGCAAAAGTATCCCATATCATCTCTTCTCATTTTTCTTCTCTTTATCCTTCATGCTGCCTGCAAGATAGGGAGAATGTGAACAATCAGCCGGAGCTCTGATTGCTTACCTTGTCTGTCACCTCTTTTCAGCAGATCCCCTAGCTCGGCGACTTGGGGGACTCCTACTACATGGTTTGTATCGCGCTTGACCAAGCCTGAAACTACAAGTAAGCTTCAAGTGAAATTGATACATTACCTTGTGCATCTCCACCAGTTACAAGATACCACCCCTGGATGGAGGAAGAGTACTTCCAGAGAAGATGCCACATCTACCTATGAGACAGATAAGGCAAGTCAAGACGATACCACACTCCGATACTTAGAAGTTTCGTGATTACGAGATCATTCTCCCACAATATTTCCTAATGTCATTTGTACTAAATCATTCACTTGTACTCACTAAAGGAGAGCTTGAACCTATGTACTTGTGTAAACCCTTCACAATTAATGAGAACTCCTCTATTCCGTGGACGTAGCCAATCTGGGTGAACCACGTACATCTTGTGTTTGCTTTCCTATCTCTATCCATTTATATACTTATCCACACTAATGACCGGAGCAATCTAGCGAAGATCACAAAAAGTGACCGTTTTCGCTACCTAGGATCTATCTTGCAAGAGAACGGAGAATTAGATGGAGATCTCAACCATAGAATACAAGCTGGATGGATGAAGTGTAAGAGTGCATCCGGCGTGTTGTGTGACCGTCGTAGGCCACTGAAGCTCAAGGGAAAATTTTATAGGACGGCAATAAGGCCAGCGATGTTGTATGGCACAGAATGTTGGGCGGTGAAGCATCAACACGTACACAAAATGGGTGTAGCGGAGATGAGGATGCTTCGTGGGATGTATGGGCACACGAGAAATGATAAGATTGGGAATTAGGATATCCGAGGTAAAGTAGGAGTAGCCAAAATTGAAGAAAATATGAGAGAAAATCGGTCCCGGTGGTTTGGACATGTGCAAAGAAGGCCTACTGACGCTCCGGTTCGAAAATGTGACTACGGGACAGAGGTTCGGGGCCGAAAGAGTAGAGGAAGACCTAGGAAAACTTTGGAAGAGACCCTAAGAAAAGACTTGAGTACTTGAATCTAACGGAGGACATGACACAAATGAGCGCAATGGCGTTCTAGGATTCATATAGCCGACCCCACTTAGTGGGAAAAGGCTTTGTTGTTGTTGTTGTTGTTGTTGTAGTACCTTAGGAGTTGAAGAAAAACATGACGTAAGGGATTATTGGCACTTTGCTCATAAAAACCCAGGGTGAACTGGCAGATATCACAACTAAGGCAGTGAAACATTGTGTATTCCTCACTGCAGAAGTTGTGAGTGGTACGATTAATTTTATTGCAGAGTTGACCTCAAAGTCTGTATGTAAAATGTACAATGTAAATCCCTCCTTATTGAAGCAGAATAGACTGAAAATAATCTCCAAACTGTTAGAAACGTGTCTTAAAAGTCAATCATGTTGTGATCTTCTAAATCATTTCATGCAATTATTGATTAAGTTTAATCAAAAGGGCAATCTTTTGTTCATTGAGGCCTCTAAAGTAAATCATGTGATGCATAAGGCATCTAAGATCGATTTCTAGAAACAAACTGGGGTGATCCTATCTCTAGTTTTATTTCTTTTCTCCCTAAACATCCCTTTTACTACCAATACACCTATGCTGCATCAAGGTCTAAAAGGTCTTAAGGGAAAGTTTGACTACCATAAACATTTTTGTCAATAACCATATTTAAGGTCCCAGAGCTCAATCCAATACTTCAAAACAAAATGTAAACAGCATCACTTAAAAGAACACGTATAGTCATCAGATACAACTGTAATAAAATTTCCTTTCTTAGGTTATCAACTCTTAAATACATACTTGAGTGAAATACCAAAGCTGTACACGTCTGACTTTTCTGTATGAGTTTCCTTCTTCAATATTTCAGGTGCCATGTAAATGAGTGTGCCAACCATATTCTTTTTGTGAAAACCACCAGTAGGCTTGCCAGATGACCTCCAATTCTCAAGAGAAACTCCTTTAAGATCTTCTTTATATACAGCCAAACCAAAGTCTGCTAAGTGGGGACAAAGATCGTTATCAAGCTGCATCATAGGAAAATTATAGTAGTTAAGTGCGTAAAACAAAAAGGTAAAAAAAAAAAAACAAGAAGGGATTTCTGATACTAAAGGACAAGATACTTAAGATAGACATTTACAAGAATATTTGCCGGTTTCACATCCCTATGTACAATCCCGAGGTTATGCAGGTATTGCAAAGCCTTTGCTGGAAAAGGACAAAAAAAGTGCTAAGGAAAACAATGAAAAATCACGCAACTAAAAACTTTTAGAAACCTCTAGTTGAGAATGGTAAAAAATAATAAAATGATTAAGTGCAGCAATAAGTTCTAATTGCCAACTGATCAATGCAAGTTGCAACAATTCGTGATGTTGCAGTACAATAACATGAAAATTATCACCGTTTATCCTAGCTCCACACCCTGCACCCCTCAACTTAATTTAAGGACTATTTGCAGGCAGCCCTTGTGATAAGGCTAAATAGCAAAGACCTCTCGGAGGTTTAATAGTTAATACATATGTATGTGTTTGTGTGTGTGTTAAAATGACTGCCAATGAAATTGTAAACTAGAAACCACAGCTATAACAGTTGTTCCTTCACTAAAGATGAACTATGCATTTCCTACAAAATAAGTTTGTGTCTGTTCCGATAACGATAGGATTGAATGCTAGGAGGTTCTTAATTCAAGAAAATAATTAGCATCCATCAAACTAAGTCATACCTAAATGGAGAGCAATCACAAGCACCTGATCGATAGTCGGAGTCCATTCTTCCATGTGTAGTTTCTCAGACAAATTGGGTGATTCAAAGAATTCAAAGAAATACATGTAATTGGGAGGCTTTGCATGCGCAGCTACCAATTTTGCTAATCCCGGATGATCCAGCTTACTTAACGTCGTGATTAACAAGAAATAAACAAAAGTTAAACGAAATTGAAGGGCCACAATTACCAAAATCAATCATGACATTAGAAGCTCAACATTCATAATTGCATATGCATATATACATAATACACACAACACTAATATATATACACATATAGATATAACCCATATCATAAAAATACCAAAGCAATTGCAATTCCTTGTGGAATTTATCAAGATCATCAGAAGTAGACAAGATGGGTTTCTTGACAGCAACTTTCTTCCCATCCAAAAGTGCTTCGTATACAACACTCTCAGCCCCTAGTCGCACAGTTAGTCCCATAATCCAAACAACAAAATCAATTAATTAGCCAAACAGAGGCTTATGAGGGAGGACAAGGACTAGGAGGATTGAGTGTTAATAGTTACCTCGGGCAATGGGTTTGAGGAGAGTGTAAGAGGAAGGTGGAAGATGGAGAGGAATGGAATTGCTGCTGCAGCAACCTCTAATGCACGCGTTTGGTTCCACAATTTCCATAACCATCTCTGCAATCGTCTCGAGCCAACACTGCTCCCTCTCGGCCTCCACAAACCAAACAAAAAGAAAGGGCGACGCAATTTCCCGCAATTAATATGCCAATTGGATGTCTACTTCTTTTGTTTTGTTTTGTTTTTTTGTTTTTATTTATTTATTTATTTTTTTTAAGGTGGAGAAGATTTTCTGCTCACCAGGAGGTGAATAGTAAAATTGTCATCTTGAACTTGTAATCTGCCTGGCCTATTTCTATTAACCCAAATGCTATAACACTTTCTCAAAGTGAGCCTTTCTACGAAGAGAAATATTAACGAGGTTATGTTAAAAGTGAGATTCTTCGTTGACTTTTTGCAACCTTAAGTTTTTTAAACAATGTTTTATAATATTAGCACGAGAGTTATGTTAAAATGTAAAGCGGCAGAGGGTCCATGAAGAGTCCCACTTTGATAGAGTCACCTTAGCATTTCTCCTTCATGAATTCTCTGTCACCTCACAGTTTAATGTTACTTTTCGTGCCAACAATTATAAACATTGTACAAAAAATATGAGATGGTAGAGAGTACATAGAGAGTCTCACTTTTGAGTCTCGTTAGCATTTCTACTTCTATTAAACATAGTTAATTTAGGATGGTCCTGTCCATCCACCTATTTTACTTCTCACACATCCTTCTTAATTTTCTGGCATTTAGATCGAATGAATTGAAGAAGATTAATGGACAAAAAAAAATGATCTATGGACAAAAAATAACAAAAGTAGGTTAAGAGTAAAAAAATGTATGTGAACGGGTAACACTTATACGTGCATGGAATTTAGGAATCGACATGCATGTGATGTATTGGTATAAAACCAACCCTTCCATTTCGATTTCAGTGAAATTTTTTAATTCACATTCATATATCGCTCTACTCCTTTGTCTTTAATGCAAAAGGATGTTAAGGGTATTCCACCAAGAATAGCATCACCATTTTCAATAACCTACCCTTATCTCCAGTAACTTTTACAAAATAAATTTTTAAGGGTGTTTTGTAAGACAAAAACGACAATAAGATTTTGTATTTTTATGAATTAAGAATGTGTCTGGTAGTTTAATTTGAGAATAGTTTTTGAATAAAAATATTGAAAACACGTACGGTGTTAATATCTAAAATGTCAAAAAAATTATACAAACTTGTGTTTGGTAGTAATGGAGACAGTAGTGGTAGAGATGGTGGTTGAGAAGAGAGTGATGTTGGTAGCAATGGTGATTGGAGTTGTGGTAGTATTCATAGTAAAGGTGTCAGTCGTGGTGGGATAGAGGTGGTGGCAATAGCGTGGTAGGGAATAATGGTGGTGGTGGTGGTGGTGGCGGCAGCCAGAGATGGTGGTCTATGTTAACAATGGTTGTGAAAATGATGGTTGAGAAATGGCGAGGACTATGGTGGCAGAGATGATGGAGGTTGTGGTGGGCACAGTGAGGGCAATGGGGTGGAGAATGTGGTGATGACAGTGAGGGGAGTTAGTTGTGGTAGTTGATAGGAGCATATTTATGCGCCTTAGTTAGTTAGTTCTTATGCATTTATGTTGTGTTTTCTTAGTTAAGTTAGTCTTTTAAGCTATTTTCATGTGTTTTCAGGTTTTAGAGACAAAGTGAGCAAAAGGATGCAATTTGGAGCATTTTGGAGCAAAATTGGGCTAAAATGGAGTTCATGCACATGAAGCACAAGGGATGGACGAATTTGAGGAATTGGTGAAGCGAGGAAGGCGTTTCAAAGTTGAAGAATTGAAGATACAAAGTTTCTTAGTTGAAGAAGGAAATGACTTGAATGAAGGATTCCTAAATGAATTGGGATTCCTAATCACTAAAGGAGTCCTAATTGAAGATGGATTCCTAGATATATGAAGTTTCCTACTCAAGCAAGGTTTCCTACATGAAGAAGAAGAATTAAAGCCAAAGAATCAGCTCAAGATAAGGAGTATTATCCAAAACCTCATCCATAACCTTATCTTAGCTTATCTTATCCAATCAAACCTTATCCTATCCTATCTTATCCTTATCCTAAACTATCCACATTCCAGCCACTTAGGAGGGTTTCTAATTAGATTAGGATGATTAAAATGGGATTTCTAGAAGCCCTATCCCTTCCTAGATAAGTGCCGCACCCTATACCTTAATTCCCTTGGAATTTCAGATTTCTAGAAGCCTTATCTTTTCACACTCTTTGTGCCGCACCTTATCTCCCAATCCCTTTGGGTTTTTGACTTGTTTTCCTTATAGGATTGGATGTTATTATCCTATGCAATTTAGGCCTTTAAAACCTTGTCCTTTGCTACCTAGGAATGTGAATTTTCAGCCTATAAATACAAGGCCTTGCCGCACCTATTCATTCACCACCCTCTACCAGATTTTCACTACACCATTCACCATTCATACCTCTTGTGCCGTGAGTTTGCAAGGAAAAGAAGGAAGACAACTTGGAGCCGTGCATGCCATTCAAGGAGCTCGGATTGTGGAGCGTTTCTAGGTGTTTTCTATCTTCATGTCAATGTTTAAATTTATTTGTCTTTGTGTATTTGCGAACATGAGGAACTAATTTCTTTTTAGTTAGAGGGGAATTCAAAGCCATGATTATATGTTTTATATGACTTGATTTCTTCCAATTATGATTTCATGAATCGTGAATGTGGTTTACTTATCTATTTGATTGATAACATGTTTATGTATGTTGATTGAGGGTCGACACTTAGTTTGCATGCATGAATTTGATGCTAGAGTATAAGGGAATTTCACCTAATCGTTATTAACTTATATTCATAAGTAGTAAAAGTCGCTAGTCACGATTGTGTTAAGTAAATCCTAGGCAAGAGTAACATGCGTATCCCATAGTTATGAATGCCTCGTCAATGCTTATGATTTCCATTGAACTTAATGATCTTTGATATGTGTCTCTATCATGCGTATTCCATAGTTAGGGTCCTTGATAAGAATAATTTGGTTGTAATGCGTATCCCATTCAATTCAATGAATCTAGGGAAATCTGAGAGTTAATTGGTCAATCTAGTTAATTTGGGGCATTGTCATTCATGGTTTGTTGAAAGAGTAATTGGAGATCGAGTCGTATGCATATGTTTCATGTGTGGAGAAGGAACCTTCTAACTAGCCTTTCCCCATTCTATTTCATCAAAATCGTTTTCATTAAAGTTTGTTCTTAAAGGTTTTGTTTTAAAAGTTAAATTCGTCCAAAATCAATCCCCATTTACTTAGTTGAGTCATAGTAGTTAGAAATCACTTTAGTTTATGTTTTTAAGTGTCTTAGGTCAAGATAAAACCAATTTTCGTCCAAGATTGAGTCTAGTGTTCAAAACTGCCTAGATTGTGGTTTTAAGGCAGTTTTGAGTGTTTTTGGGCTGTTTTGAGTCTTTTGGTTTGTTTTGGTGTTTTAAAGTTTAGTTTTGCATTCTTTGAGTCTAGTTTAGTGTTTTAAACTTGTTTGTACGTATTTGAGTCAGTTTTCAAGTGATTTTGCAATCCCTCCTAATCCCCGGTTTAGAACGATCCCTACTTACATACTTTGCTACAATTGATAAAAAGAGGGTTATTTGTGTGTCAACATAATTTTCACATCAGTAGTAGGGGTGAGACGGTGGAGGCGGTGATGGCTATGGTTGGGGTAAGGGGGATGATGGATAATATGGTGATGATGGTGGTTTTAGTAGTGGTAGCTGTGGTGGCGATTGTGGTCTCGGAAGTGCAAGTGGTTGTAGCCATGGTAAGATGTTGGTGGTGTGTTGGTTGTGACAACAGTAAGACAGTGGACGTGGTGGTGGCTAATATGGTGAGGGTGTTGGCTAATATGGTGAGGGTGTTGGCTATGAAGGATATGGTGGTGGCGGTGGTGGTGATGGTGAGATGGTGGAAATGGTGGTGACCTTGTTGGCGAGGGTGTTGGTTGTAAGAGATATGCCCTAGAAGTCAATCTTGAGATGAAACCTTTCGAGATAATGTTTAAATGTTTAGTTATGTCTAATACAATAAATGAGCAAAGTCACCCATTAGGACTATCTCAATTAAACGATATACGTCTAAATAGTGAATCCATAGACAATAGACTGATGGAAGAAGTAATCTAAAGAATTAGCCTACATAGACCTTCTTGACATAGCAATAATGTCCAAAAAGATTTCTGTTCATAAGATTGTTAGAGGGACGCTGACAATCCAGATAGACCTGTTGAAAATCCGACTAGACCAGTACATATTATGTCTGCTTCAATGGGAAAGATGACAAGTCTCAAGCCATTCGTGTAAGGACACTAAGATAAGTATGTAGGTGCTCGTTAAGGGAATGAGTTCACTGAACACAATCAAATAAGAGTACTTGCACCCTTTGACCTGAGACATCATAGTTATCTTGGGGACACGTTGCTGATCATTTGGCAATGAGATGTGACCACATCTCGTTTTAGATGTGTTTTATGCATTGTAGGGGCTACTGACTTACATGTGAATGTTTAACAAGGAATCTCTAATCTTCAGTATGAGAAGAAGAATACTCTAAGATATAATTCAGGAATCCTTAGCCAAGTATTGAGCGTAATAAAGGAAGACATTGTATCCATACCTTGGTAATTGATGCGAAATAGATAAGCACACAAATTAAACCCTCTTTTTGTCAAATTGTAGCAAAGATGTAAGTAGGGATCGTTCTAAACCGGGGATTAGGAGGGATTGCTAAACACTTGGAAACTGACTTAAAACTCAAAAACAAAGTTTAAAAACACTAACTTAGACTCAAAGAATGCAAAAGTAAAGGTTAAAACACTTAAACAAACCTAAAACTCAAAACAGCAACTAGAAGGCTCAAAACTGCCTAAAAACCACTTTCTGGGCAGTTTTGAGCACCTACACTAATTTGGACGAAATTTGATGAAATCTTGAATCAAAATACTTAGAAACACAAATCAAAACACTTTCTAACTAATCTAAGACTTCAAATTAAAGGGGGATTTGTTTTGGACGAAAATTTAACACAAAAACAGAAACTTTAACTAGCACAGATTGTAAAAACGATTTTGGTGAAATAGATGGATAAAAGGCTAGTTAGGAGTTTCTTCTCCACACATGT